GGCCTGTAATTTTCATCATAGGTATACCTCAACTATGAGAGACAAAATGAGAAAAAAAATCCAGAAAATCACATTGTCTGATTTTTAAAGAATTTATTTGCAACATTGTCTGATTTTTAAAGAATTTATTTGCAACATTGTCTGATTTTTAAAGAATTTATTTGCAACATTGTCTGATTTTTAAAGAATTTATTTGCAACATTGTCTGATTTTTAAAGAATTTATTTGCAACATTGTCTGATTTTTAAAGAATTTATTTGCAACATTGTCTGATTTTTAAAGAATTTATTTGCAACATTGTCTGATTTTTAAAGAATTTATTTGCAACATTGTCTGATTTTTAAAGAATTTATTTGCAACATTGTCTGATTTTTAAAGAATTTATTTGCAACATTGTCTGATTTTTAAAGAATTTATTTGCAACATTGTCTGATTTTTAAAGAATTTATTTGCAACATTGTCTGATTTTTAAAGAATTTATTTGCAACATTGTCTGATTTTTAAAGAATTTATTTGCAACATTGTCTGATTTTTAAAGAATTTATTTGCAACATTGTCTGATTTTTAAAGAATTTATTTGCAACATTGTCTGATTTTTAAAGAATTTATTTGCAACATTGTCTGATTTTTAAAGAATTTATTTGCAAGATTTTCCCCCCCATTTTGTCTCTCATAGTTGAGGTATACCTATGATGAAAATTACAGGCCTCTCTCATCTTTTTAAGGGAGAACTTGCACAATTGGTGGCTGACTAAATACTTTTTTGTCCCACTGTAAGGGAAAAAAAGTGATCATTATATTTGAAATTTGTATTCAATGTAGATAGTCCCTGGGTTAAGAATGTCCAGTTTATGAACGACCCATAGTCAAAAACAGAGCCTACTGTAGCAAAATTTGAGTTAAACACACAATGGTTCAAGTTAATTACACAATACTACTTATATAGTATTATACAATAATATTGTTCCGGCTTACATACAAATTCAACTTAAGGACAGACCTTGGGAACAGAACTTGTTCTTAAACTGGGGATGACCTGTATAACACTGGTTACGATATCACTGATCTTTAGATGAAGAAATTCAATTAAATAAATATTTGAAGTGTGTTTGTACAGTATGTGTGTGCATGCACACATATATATTAAATTAAATAAATAGTTTACATTCATTAAAAGGAAAGGAAAAGGGGGGCAGGCGGTTCCCACAACAATTTGCCACATGAATTTTTTGAAGCTGTCAAAGGCAAACAAATCATTTTGCATGCCTAAATGATGGCAAATAGTCTCTCTTTTAAAATCATAAAAAAGGTAGATACTCAAGCAAGAAGCCTCAAGGAAAAGTGAACAAAGAGAGGCAATAAAGGAAGAAACAAGGTATCTGTAGTGGCTCCTTTCAATATGCATAGGCTTAGAACTGGCAATTCCTGAAACTGTGTGGAATAGGCCAACTGAAACTATCGGTAGGGGAGAGCTCATCTGGCTGAAGTTATGGTGGCCTGCCATGGCATCCAAAGGGAGATGGGGAGCCTTGTAGATAAGGATGTAAAGCATACTTTTACTCCCATTCAAATAAAGTTATCATCTAATCTGGGCTAATATGTTTTTGACTGGGGATAACAGTCAAGGGACTGTTGGGACTAAGGACTGAAATTCAGACAGAATCACCTCTACTGGGGGGGGGGACCCACACAGAAGAAAAATGAAAACCAAATAGAAATCCAGCTAGATGTTCAAATTACAAAGATTAAATCTCAATCTCATATTTATAAATAAATCTACAAAACTGCTACATATATTGTTCAATAGTCTGTACCTTTTTCTGAGTTCATTTTAGAAGGAAAATATTGTTTTAAACAGAAATAAATAAGCTCATCTACATTAGGCATTGAGATGTTGAGATGATGAACAAAAAGGAGGCAGAAAACTAAGTCTGTGGATCACAAAAGTCTTTATCCTATGTTAGGAACCGCAAAAACAACCTGTCTTTCTTCTCAATCTTTCCACCCTCTATAGTAAATTTGGGGACACAAAAAGAGCTTTGGGGCAAAGAGAAATCTAATCAACTGCTTGAGGACAGCCACCATTGGAAACCAGATGTGTCACAAGAAACTAGATCTAGTTCTATAATACAACCTTCAGAATATCCCCAAATTTGCAAATGGAATATTCAGCAACCAAATCTCTTAGATGCCAAGAGGCTTTAGTTGTGTGTAAAAGTAATACCCTGGCTCCACCTCCTGGTGAGAGTGTGCTCAGCATAAGAGATTGGGGGGATGGAAGGAATCAAGAATATTTAGTCTTTTTTTTCCCCCAGAGATAAAATGGTCTTCAGAACTAATCAAATATTTGAATTATCCTTGTACTAAACACAACTATATCAGTCTTCCTGTATCCTTTTATCATATTTAGAAAAGTTCCTTGTGACAGATAATATTCTCATCAAGATCCAGCATGTTTCTTCCATTTCTGGGAACACACTGAAATTTTCTGAAACCCATTAATAACACTCACAGGACTTATGTACAAGATAAATTTTACTCAATTTCCTTTTTCAGTTAATGGCCAATTAATTGAGCCAGGCTTGACTGAAAATATTGCTCAAATGTCATTAATTAACAAAAATTAACTTTACAATGTTTGTAATTATGAGAACATGATTTTAAGGTAATGTTATTCTATATTGTAGCATAGTTCCTATCTTATTTAAAAGTCACATTAGGTTAAAGTACGGGCATTTATACTGAAAGTCAAACATTTTCAACATTCATTACAAATGTATTCATGTTGGTTCACTCTTTGTTATTTGGTTGAAGTACTCTTCCCTTCTTATTTTCAGTCTTCAGATTCTCTGATAAATTAAGACACTTACAGCAGAATTGATTTCAGCAAGTCATAGTTTTGTTCATTATATCATATAGTTCTTATCTGATATGACAATATCACAGATGTTTGTAAACCAAGTACTCTTTATCACAAACCAAGTATTCATTCATTTCCTTTTTATCATGACTTATCTCTGAGAATTCAACATGGAATGCATAGAGGTCTCCTCATTTGATCCCCAAAGCAGTAGTGGATAGGCTGGGAAGTAGTTAGAGTGAGAGTGATTGGCCTGAAGTCACCTAGTAAACTCCATGATTGAGCTGGCACTTGAACTTAGTCCAAAATCAACATCTGAATAACCACAGTATACTTCTCTACCCTGGCAACAAACTGAATGAGATGAGAAAAATGAAAATGGCATTAGGAAGATGTGCAAGTAGAAGAGTAAAAGGGTGCTGAACCACAACAAACTTGTGGCTGCATTCATACAATAGCCTAACCAGATCAGTTACAAATCTAGAGACAGCATTCATTCAACATGCTGCAATTGGTTAGTTTTAACTTAATGTGTTGTGAGTTCCTGCCATTTAGTTAGCTTATAGTTCAATATATTTTGTAAGCCCAGAAAAAAGATTAATGCAGTAACTAGATTAAGCATATTGTATAAACACAGACAATAAATACATTCAATCTGGTGCTGGTTGTGTAACTTGAATCAAATATGCCACTTATGAACTGAATACTGAAGAAATTGATATATTGAAGAAAGAGAATTTATAACAAATATTTGCTTATTTCTTTTGATAACATTTGTGAATTCGAAAAGGCACTATCAGATTCCTCCTAATTTTTTTGCCACCACAGATTAACATAGCTCTCCCCCTACAATGATAGTCCAGGTGTAAACTTAAACCTGAAATAGATGCAAGGCAAACTCACAAACATACACACGTGCTTAAATGCACCCATAACATATACTTATTGCCCTTCTCAAGATCTGACAGAAATTATATTACTCAGATTTTCTTAGTGTGGTAATGGAAAAAGAAGAACTGTAAAGACTATCAGGACAGAAAAGAAATTATGGCTTTGTTGACTGGTTCCTGGTTTACTTTCCTTTTCTTTCTCTCTCAAAAGCACACAGATAGTATCCAAGATTCTCAGTAGCAAGAAAAGTCTGTTTCAGTCTCTGTGTTTGATGGAATGTTCTTTGTTTATTCTGGGTATGTGGTTTTAACCTATGTTCTTGGAAAGGCTGGGGACAGGTTGAATACATGCAGCTTTTATATGGCTAAGGTTTCCTGTAGGTTTGTGGGAAGATATAGTGGTCTGTGGTTTCTGGTTCTTAAATTGTGTGCAATTTGTTTATAATTTTTAACTTGGTTTCTTGTGGAATGGGTTTTCATGCTTTTTTAATTGGATGGCTGATAGTTTTGTGGGGTTATTTTTCTTAGTTTTGTGTTTGTGGGAGTGTGTTTGTGAGACAGTTACTCTATTGAGGAGATGTGGATTCTCAATGCAAACACAATAGCAATCTATAATTAAGCAACCCAGAATTTGTAACTCAAAACCATGACCTCAAAATTGTATCTTGGGGTAGGGAAGGGCTGGTGAGAATTCAGACAAACATCCAATTCTGGTTTAGAATTATATGTGAACTGGCATTTTACGATAATATGCATATTATGTTACTAATATCTTACTATCTTGTGAGGATGTTTATCTTAAATAGCAATTAAAATATGTAATTAATCTTTTTGTTCTCATGGCTGAAATTTCTGCTACTATGTGGGTATGTAAAGTCACCTATTCTATGTGGTGGATTAGCTCCAGCCATTATCACACTGCTGCTAACAGATATTAATGCCTGTTCTGTCTCTTTAAAAATGGAGCTAACATCTAGGGTAATCTAATTAAGTACATTTGTGATTGCAAATTAAATACACTATTTTTATCACCCACAATAACTCTCAAATAAAGCTTTATGTGACCCTTCCCCAACCAAGTTCCTCCAGATATGCCAAAAATGCAATTCCTAGAATTCCCTTGACCATAGTCTTTGATCAAGTTTCCTGGGAATTGTATCTAGAGACTATCAGGTTAAGGAAGCCCACCTTTTGTAAAGATGAGTAAGTGAAGTCATCCACAAGATACAAAAAAGTGTCAAGAAATGTACCGTAAAATGTTCCTGCGACTTGAAATTTTCATCCAGATAAACCCGGGCTCTGTTGTAGTCTTTCATTGCATCACTAGATAGCAATTCTCTGAAAGATTTAAAAAGAAGACATGCAGAGTAAATTTGTTTTAAAATATTAAGGAGCTGTTCACGAAAAATCAAAACATATTAACAACTCCTTACTTTTTTGGAAGCTGTAAGAGAAATCAGCTATGAATGAACAATGAAAATAAATTGCTGCATTTCATTAATTGCTATCCTACTGTTTATTTTTTGGGTTCTCCTTCACAAGTCAAGCCATGCACCTTTGCAGGTACCTTTCAAGCAAGTTCCACTAACGGGAAGCTTAGTGTAATAAGAATGAGAGTGGGAATCATTAAGAGTCTTTCTAGTGCTCAGGAGAGGGCACTGTTTCTCTTCTTTCAGCACAGGAAAGACCATTTCTTTTCATATTCATTTATGTGGTGAAAGTATGTCTAAAAAAATTAAACACCAAGAATAAATGATTATCAAACAACATCAGACAGAAGATCTGTGGGAACTAATTTTGTTTGAAGTGGAATATAATTCATTACTGTTGTGTAGAGGTGAAATAATCAGGAAAAAAAAATTGTATCCATTCAGGATGGAAAGAACTATAGCATAGAGAATTCAGCATTATCAAAAGACAGTGTACCTGTTGTAGGGGGTTCTTTCTTTTTTTTTTTTGAACCAATAACCAGATTGACCCTGACTCAATATATACAAAGCATTGTAAACTTGGAAAATTGATTGGGCTTTTGTATGTCCCTCCAGTGGTGGTGGCGGTGGTGGGCTTTTATTTTACAAAAGGAAAGCATACAACTTTTTTAAAGGAATTGTAAATTATAAATGCTTTCAACTAGTCCAGAATTTAAACTTAATAATAAAACTATTTTTTATTTTAACTATTTTCTGTAAGCTCTTAATCTATACTATTTTCTTTAAAGTCCAATTCCACTATATTCTCATATTTTTCTCTTCTACAGTGGTACTTTATGAACCCTGGATCATTACAGGATCATTTTCCTCAAGAAATCAAGGAACAAGTATAATGTTTTTGACTCATTTATTTAACTGGGTTTTTATCTAGTTTTAGGACTTGTGTGGAGGACAGATCACATTTTAGGTCATACATATTCAGAAATATTGAAAACTCAAAAGGGTTCACAAACCTTTAAGCACCACTGTATATCTCTAATATATGCATATTATTGATGACCTCTATATTCCTCATCTTAATCCCTGTATATCTCTATTGCCACTCTCTATAGAGCTATACCCCTTTCTCCACAGAGTTCAATCTGTCTTTTATTTTTTTTAGTTAATGTTTTCTATTTCTGTTCTGTCAAAGTCTTTACTTTTCTGCTTATTTGTTCTTGGCTGGGCTTCTTCATTCTTCTCCTCCTCCAAATCTTTGTTCCCTCTGAGAGAAATGGCTTGGAGAACCTTTACCTCACACCAGTTCTAAGGGAAGAAAATAAACACCTGTCTCTCCCCAGTTGTCTCAGCTGCTGCCTTCTTTACAGCTGCCTCTTTCTCATCACGGCTGTCTGTCTTTTAGTTTGCCTCTCTACTTGACTCCTGGGCTTTGGGTCTGTTTATTCAGCCTATTCTTCATGAGGCCTAGGGCTGCAGAGTTCCCAGGTAGCCATCTTGTCTTCCCGCCTGCCTAACACTGTTTGATTGGCAGCTGGGTCGTCCTGACGACAGGGGAGGGTAAAGAGGGGGGAGGAAGGAGGATTGGCACTTATAATCTGCTCAGGCACACTGTCCTTCCACAGTACCAAAGTGTATAAATTTGATAAATAAATAAAACTTTAAACTTCCAACAGTAAAACAACTGTTCAGCTGAATCTTTTAAGTTGTTAGCAAAAGAAATATGGTTCACATAAATTGCTAAGATAGAAATTTTACATGCGGAGTGAACGACGAAAGCTTGAGTTCAAGCATCTTCCACCAGGAAGCATACATCTTTTATGGTGAACTCTGGCCTTCATGAATAGTAGAGCTTTTCAGCTTCAAACTTCTGTGGAGAACTTCTTAGTTTTCTTTTTAAAAAATAATTCTTACAATGCTGCTGACATTTTCAAAGCTAATCAGTATTGTCAGTTTATCTTTTATGGAAGCATCATGCAAAAATTAATTGGCTGCATCTGTAGACATTCATTACACTCACTGCTAGGAAGGGAGCAATGTTATTTTTAGGATGTGGTAGGCAGAAATTCATTAGGTCTGTTGCAACTATTGAATTTTTGTCTGGAAAGCCAAACGTTGATCTGAAAGATTAATGCAGACTGTAGATCAGCTCCATATTAAATGTTAAAGCACCAATATGAACAAGGCCGTTGTAGAGATTTACTTTCCTGAACTGCTTTTAAAAAAATTCATTATTGTTATCCTAACATTGAAAGTGATTACATGTTGAATTGCTTACCATATTCAGTAGAAATGGTAATGCTTGCTAGTTCAAGTTCAAATAATGTATTTGGTGAATGATCAGAACGATGGAGAGTGTGTACAACAAAAGTACACAACAATAATGTAGCATAAGATAAAAAAAAACAACCCAAATGTAACATTCTAATGGCACAACACGTTATATAATTCACCCTGTATGTAATATTTATTCTTCATTACCCCAAACTTATTTCTGTGATAATTTGTGTATTTTAATAGCTGCAACAGAAAATTCAGCTACATTATATGTAGTATTAAGCTTGTTATCTGATAAAAAGAAAGCAAGGTTCTGATTACCCTGGCATAGGTTTCAGTAAGGGGAAGTAATGCTTGCTATATCTGACCTGTTTTCCTTCCTTATTCCACAGTTAATGCCTATTACTTTGTCTGATGGGAAAAAAATCATCTTTTTCTCAAGGAGGGGCCACAACTTTGCATATAATGAGCCTCAGGGCAAATTCCAGGCTCTCCAGTGAACAAAAACAATCAAGGAGGAAAGCGATAGGACAAACAGCTGCAAGGTTGCCCTAAGTAAAAGCTAAATGTGAAATCCCTCTTATTTGCCCTTTGGACAGCATGTCACAGGAATGGAAGTGTGACCATTCACTGTTCACAAAATAGCTGTCAAAATGTACATGGCAACTCTCAAAGCACTAATTTACCAGAAAGCAAACTTGTGGGATGGCTCCTTGCCACACTCCCTGTACCACAGGACACTTGATGATCAACTGCCAATTTACCTTGTGGAGTTTTTTCCCACGAGGTCAGCATGTTTACCTACAAGAAACTGAGCTGCAGAGAAGGTCTATGGGGCCTATATGGAGTCCAAGGGCATTCTTGGAAACAGTATTGTAGAGGCTGGTCTTTGCACTATGCTGGTTCCTTTTTAATTTTGTTTTAGAACTAAAATAATATTTTAACATATCAAAAAAATAGAGAAAAGCAGGCACTGAGGGCAGGATCTATGGTGCAAGGGTCTATGGCTTCCTCCCAGAGCTAGATAAACAAACACTGATTTGGTATAAAGCAGCTTCCTATGAATCATATTTTCCAACACGGTTAAAGTCATAGCAAGCCAAGTTCAAACAAGTAGTGCAAACAATTCTCTTTCTAAAAGTAGTATTGGATTATAAAACAACATACTTAATCTAGGGGTGAATGGAGTGATAATTTGAAGAAGGTATCAAATGGTTTGCATTTCTTTTCTTTTAAAAAATAATGAAATTTGACATAAGCAAATAATCTAGCTTTGATCTATCTTTCTTGTTACTTACTTAACAAACTTGTCCACGTGAGACATAGATGCTTCATAGTTTTTCCCTCCAAACTCTTGACAGTGTAATGCCATGAAGTGTGGTTTATGTGCATGTACAACCTGCAAAATAAAATGAAGTATGAGTACAGCCACCATCCCAAAATGACATTAAAGGAAGCCTACTAAAAATCAATGTTCAACAAATCAATGTTCAACTATCACAGTAACGACTCACTTCAGAAACAAAATTTATCAAATCCCAGTTACATGCTTTTCTGAACACTATGTTAAGGATTTTGAGATTGTAAGTTTTCAGAGTTAACATTTTTCCTATAGAGATATCATTTCTGTGCAGCTTCTTAAAAAAGGAGAGAGACAGAGACAGAGACAGAGACAGAGACAGAGAGACAGAGACAAAGAGAGACATGTAATGTAGCTATCAATCCTTGGGTACAGATTTATGGGTAAATAAATCACATTACTGCTCATTTGCATGATACTGTCTTATTAAACATGACATGTCTGCAAGGCAAATGAGATGAAATGACCCAAAGTTTTATGGGATAGTTAACTGGAATACCTTCACTTTATATACCTGGGAAACTACTGTAACTTTTCTTCTTCTCCAACCCAAATACTATTTAAATTAGGGTAGCGATCCGACAGTTTGGGATGAGGTACCATCAATATGCTGATGATACCCTGCTTTATATCTCCAACATAGGCCCTCTGAGCGATGCTGTGAATGTTCTGTCCCAGCCTCTGTAGGTTGTAGGGGCTTGGATAGGGTGCAATGGGCTTTGGCTCAACCCAGGCAAGACTGGGTGGCTCTGGGTATTTGGGCCTTCTGATGCCAAGGCTCTTCCATCTTTGGTCCTGAATATTGTATTTGTTTTAATTGTTTTTATGATTTTTCACTCCCCAGAATCACTTGGTTAAGAGGGGAATAAACAAAACATGTATTGTTTTATGCCCACCTC